GCAGTTAGGGTGAAGGGATAGGGGTAGAAAGTGGAGAGGAAAGCAGACGACAGAACATGGCAAGAAAGCTGGAAAGGAGGTGAAAGGAGACAATTTTAGAGAAGAAAAGTTTTCGATGGTTACCCGGATTCAAACCCGGAACCTTTGAATGAGAGGCGAACACCTTAGCCTCTAGGCCACGAGAGCCCCCACCGTACATCTCTGTCATAACGCTGTTCTCTGTGTCTGTGCCTCCACGGTTGAGTGGTATACAGTGCCGGGCACCTCTGTCTGTCCTAACGCCGTTCTCTGTGTCTGTGCCTCCACGGTTGAGTGGTATACAGTGCTGTACACCTCTGTCTGTCTGTCCTAACCTTCTCTGTGTCTGTGTCTCCACGGTTGAGTGGTATACAATGTGCCGTACACCTCTGTCTGTCCTAACGCCGTTCTCTGTGTCTGTGTCTCCACGGTTGAGTGGTATACAAGTCTGTGCTAAGCTGACAAAACGCCTTTTTCTTTTTGCATTTTAAGCGTCAAATTTTTTTGTGTGGGTTAAATCGATAGCCGGATCAAATACCCTACTTGTGTGAAAGAATCTTATCAAAATGAAATGACTTCTAGTTTTTAAAAGAACAATTAATTAAAATTAAAATTTCTGAAGAACCCCTTTTTTAAGTGAATGGTTACGCTGACAAAACGCTTTCATATCTCGCAAAACTGCTGTGAGTAAGAAAAAGGCGTTTTGTCAGCGTACGGCCGTACACTTCTGTCCTAACGCCGTTCTCTGTGTCTGTGCCTCCACGGTTGAGTGGTATACAGTGCTGTACACCTCTGTCTGTCCTAACGTTCTCTGTGTCTGTGTCTCCACGGTTTAATGGTATACAAGACAGTGCTGTACACCTCTGTCTTTCCTAACGCCGTTCTCTGTCTCGCTGTATGCTCGCACTGGGCGACCTGTCCTGCATTCTTGTGTCTCTCTGTGTTGTGCTGGTCTGCACTTTTCAAACCCGTCTCCATGCAGTCTATACTTCAGCCAGTGTGGGAAGCTTATTCCTCCTCCTCCTCCTCCATCTCCTCCGTTTCTGCCATTTTTCTTTTCTTTCTGATGAGTGAGAGTGTGGGACAATGAGACAGGCAGAGAGAGAGAGTGGGTGGGGGGGGGGGGGGTATAGAGATAGAGAGTGAAAAAAAAAAGAGAGAGAGAAAGAGAGAGAGAGAGAGAGAGAGAGAAGATGCCGATTTTGCATTTTTTCTTTGTTTTTTTTTTCGTTCCTTCCTTTTTTCTGTTCTTTTTTTTCTTCTTATTTTCTCCTTGCTGTTTTTGTTCTTTCTTTTTCTCTTTTTGTCTGTTTTTTTGTTTGTTTTGTTTTTTAACTTTCGCTCTCTCTCTTTCTTTTTTCTTTTTACTTTTTCTGCTTTTTAAGATTAAAATTATTTTTTTTGTGTTTGTCGAGCCGCCTGGCGCCTGTTTCGTCTTGTGACCTGTTTTTGTTTTTGCCTCAGCAGTTCTCTCCTTTCCTCCTGGATAAATATACCGGCTGGCCCTACCTCTCCCCCCCCCTTCTGTTTATAGATCATTCTGTTCCCGTCTCACTCGATATTCTTTCGATAAGAACAGCAGCTGACATCGTGTTTTTTCTGGGCCTACCCCCTGACACACCCCCTTCCCCTCAACCTCTCACCCCTGTTCTGTTCTGTTGTCTTGTGTTGTTTTCTGTGGCATGTTAGTTAACGCAGTTGCTAGCGCCGTAAAACCTCTACTGAAACTCAAAGAAGCCTG